TAATCCCAGCACTTGGGAGGCAGAGGCAGATGGATCTCTGTGAGTTCAAGGCCAGCCTGGTCTACATAGTGAGTTCCAGGCTATCTGGGGCTGCAGGGAGACCCTGTCTCAAAAGACCAAAAAAAAAGCTTCTATCATATTAAAATTTTTATTATTTTATTGGGGTGCTGGGGACTGAGTACAGGGTCTTGCACACGAAATCATGCACTCTACCACTGAGCTATACCCCTAGCCTCCTGTCCATGGAAATGTATTACAGCAGCTGGTATTATCCCAAATACAAACAACAACTCTGGGATATCTCTAGACTCCTAAAGCCAAGTTTCTCCTCATTCCAGGCTGGCAAGATGGCTCAGTGGGTAAAGGTGATTACTGCCAAGTCTGATGTCTAGAGTTCACTCCCTGGAACCCACAACGCAGAATGAGAGAACCAACTAACCAACTGAACCAACTAGCCAACTGCTAAAAGTTGTCCTCTGACCTCCACATGCGCACTACTGTCGCGCACACACACACACACACACACACACACACACACACACACGATAAATTAAAAATGTAATAAAAATAAAAAACCCAGCATCTTTTGGAGAATTAAATGAGGTAATCTTGTAAATAAGAAAAAAAACTTAAAATCGTGATCATTGGAAAAATAGTTCAAGAGGCAGCTATGAAAATTCACATTAATCCAAGTTAGTTTCTATTTTTGTAAAATAGTCTGTCTCTGAAAAACCTATCTTGCATCCTAAGCAAGGGCTCTATCACTGAGCTACATCCCCACCCCAGTGTTTCTTGTTTTTTTTTTTCATTGTGTATCAGCATGTATTGTACCTTTCATATTAGTAGTAAAAATGACAAGAAATGCCACCGAAAAGTAAGACAATTAGCATAGTTAAACAGCCAACCACTTACTGTCCCCAAAGGAAGCAAGCTTCGACACTCACCTACCAAAGAACATTTAAAGTTTAGGCCTACTTCTTGGTTACATAATTATGGTCACTGATGACTAATCCTTGAATAGTTTTGATTGCAATCTGTGTCCGAGGCAAGGGTAAAATATATTTAGCAAATGAGAGTCAACAAAGTATTAAGGACTGATGTCATGCAAGATCTCTTAAAAACAAAAAATGTACAGGATGAAAGCCCTGTCCTCAAGCAACTAGCAGGAGAGAAAACCAAGAAATCAGAGAAGGCAGTACGTACCTTGTGGCTTACAAAGCTCTCTGAGACAGCACTGAAGGTGTAATAACTGCAATAATCCAGAGATGTGTGTGATATACTGGAAGAAATGTAGTTAAGGTCAATTTTATCTAGCTCACCAATAACTCAGAAATGTAAATTGCTCCATTTTTTTTTAAAGATTAACTTAGGACTGACTATTAAAGGGTTAGATAAGCTTCCTTTCACCTAAAAATTCCACTTCTAGGAATTTATCCTAGGAAGAAAGGATATGTTCAAGAATATTAATTAAAAAATTATGATAATGGGAGCCTGTGAGATGGTTCTTCCAGGAAAAGTGCATACCACCAAGCCTGCCGCCCTGAGTTTGATTCCTGGAACCCCTCATAGAAAGAGAGAACCAAATCCCGAAAGTTATCCCCTGACCTCCACACGAGTGTCTGTACTCACAGACATCATATACACTGGCAGTAATGCTAAAATTAAACTTTTAAAAATTAGGATATTGTCTGGGGATGTAGTTCAGTTGTGGACTGCTTATGTAATATGCATGAGGCCTCAGGTTTGATCCCTAGCAGCCCTCCCAAATTATGATTATGTGGAAGAACAGAGAGCTGTTAAATAGAAATTAATGTGTAGTGCCAGGAAAGAGTACTCATAACACATTAGTAAGAAAAGCTCAGGACACAATGGGGAGATGTTGGCCCAAGGGTGCAAAGTCTCACTCAGGACATGTAAGTTCCACAGACTTGTTGTACTGATGGTCATCATATATGTATGAAAATTACTAAGAGAACAGATCTAAATCTTCTCACCACAACAAAAAACCTAAATAACTAGAAGTGCAAGACATTTCATAATGTAAACACATATCAGAATATCAAATTGTATGCTGTAAATATATGTAATTTTTATTTACTAAGTTACTGTGACTATTATTTTAGTTTTGTTGAGACAGAGTGTAGCCTGGAACTCACAATGCAGAGTAGGCTGGTCTTAGACCAGATGCAATCCTCC